CATGCAAACACATGGTTAAACGCACTCATTTAACTGTGGCACAGAGGTGAACACGCCAGTGACGATTCGTTCCTACTGTTCAGTGCATCTTCTGGATAGGAGAAATAAGTGTATTATTTTGAGTAAATACTCAGCTGAAATTTGATATTCTTATATTCGATTCCCACTTCTGTTAGCTTATGTAAGTGACAATGTAGATCACAACATCTGTGCCACAGCTATTCCGCCTGTGGTCCTTTCGGGAACTAAGTATATGTAAGTAACTAACCCTTAAATATAATACTTTTTAACAGGCAGAAGGCAGAAGGTAACAACATAACAACTAGAAAATGCTATGAAAAGATGAGGCATTTCATAACATTTTGGACCTTTATGTATATCCTGAGTTTCAACAGTCCCAGGGCGTGGGCAACCCTTTATTAAAAATATTTTGGAAATCGGTTATAGGGGAAAATAATTTCCCCTCGTAGAGAGAACTGAAGCCCAGAAGAGATGGTCACAGTCACCGAGTATCACTCATTTCTACAGAATAATGCATTACGAGGAGGAACCTGTGACCGAATGTCGCTCAAACGCAGGGAGACCTTCCAGAACCATAGGCCTGCCTGCCATTCGCTTTGCGCTTCCTGCAGCTGGGAGGGTTCCGACTCTCACAGGGTATGTAACTACATATACAAAGCGTAGAGTACATAAAACCATGTAATTTCAGAGTATCATAGACAAATTTATTTATTTTCCAAAAATTAGTTTAAAAGCTGCTCTCTGGGACATTAAAAAAAAAAAAAAGCCTCCCTGCCATCCTTCCCAAAGGTGGAGAGAGTGTCAAGCTCTGCCTTCCTGCCTATGCCGGCCAACCGACCCACTTTGCCTGGGACTGACGGGTTTCCCAGGACGGGGACTTGCACTGCTCAAACCAGGCAAGTCCTGGGCAAACCCTGACAAGTGGTCACCCAGCCTGACTCCTCTGCCCAAGGTCTCCCTTCATGTCCCCCTGTCTCCCTCATCACTTCCTCATCACAAGCTCCAGTGATCCCATTCCCTCCACGGCTCCTACCAGACCCACGTGCAAGAACGTCTCTGCCCACACAGCCGAAGCTCCGGGCCAGTGTGTGTTTGTCACACTCGCCTCCCTCTGTTTCTGAGGAGACACTTTTCTAATTAAGGGCCCTGGGAGGGCAGCTCACAGGTCCCACCCCTTGGTTCTTCCCACCCAGTGCTTGATGGAGATCACTCAGTTGACTGGGAAGGCATTCGGAAGACCTGGGCCCCAAGCACCTCCCTCCACTCTGCACCCTGACTTCATCTCGCACGAACAGGCACCGCACACCTTGCAGCCTGGGCCTCGGCCCCTCCCTGAGTATCTTTGAATGAGTAGAAGACGCAGGAAATTCCAACTGAATCTGGTAACCACAGAGCTGAGAGTAATTCCTCAGTGGATTCCTGCCAAAGAGCTGTGGCAGAGAAATACTCCCGATGGAACTCAGCGAATTAGCAGGAAGAAACATACATACAACCCAGAGAGAGGATTAGACTGAAGTTATTCCATGCCTCTTTCAGGAAAACCAGTGCCCAGAGCAAAGAGGAATTTCTCCTTTGAAATAAGGGCCTTGGAGGAGTTCTTAAGCCCATCAAGATGCAGAAAGGGAAATAACTTGTGCAATCGAGTCAGGCCAAGAGGATGTGGTAACAGATTCCCACCACAGGGAGTCAAGAGAGTTCAATAACAACAGTCCCTCATAAACAGCGTTTTCTCTGGCCGCTGGTGGCGGTCAGGGCACACTGCTTCCATGAGCTCTGCCACCTAAACACCTACACTCAGCAACTGTAGCCAAAGCATCCTGATGGCTTGTTTCAGAGAACTCCCAACAGTAGCAGTACAAATGTATACTTACAAATGTATCAAGTTCTAAAGCCTATGCTGATTGAACTCACACAGTTTTACTATTCTGTTTTCACTTTATTTCATCTTTGGACCAGTTACTATATATCATCTGTGAACTTGGCACAGTGGGAATGGAGCTTTCGGGGTCTCCCATAAGGTTTTCAAACAGTAATCAGTGTTATCAATAGCAGCCTGGTAGGGCCCTAGAAGTCTGACCTTCCACTGCAGGAATCCTGCCCTCAGATCACCAGAAAAAAGGCCAAGAAGGGACTGGGCCTGGTTTCGGAGGGGCGCCACCCCCGAGCGGGCCCTGCACTCTGGAAGAATCAGGTGTCCAGCCCACGGCTGAAATGAAGGTCACTGGGACAAGGACACACCAGGGGATGGACTGTGAGAGGTCTGTTAACAGAACGGGCACTGCTGTGCCTCCTCCCCCACAGGAGCCCCTCCTGCTCGCTTCCTTTCCAACTCTTCCCTCCTCTGAGTGTCCTTGACCTGACCTTTCACAGGAAGTACCTTTCTCAATTGCTTCTTGCAATTCAACTCTTCCCCTTTTCTTGCTTTGATTTTTTTTTTCCTTTCCTGGATTATGGACAAAACCAAAGCTAACATAGAGAGAAAAAATGAAATGATGTAAACAGGCAGAAAAGGGGAGGTGTGTGGGTGGCGTCTGATGGAGGTCCTGCCGGCTGGGGAGGGCGCCCACCCTCTGGAGCCCAAGTGCTTTTTTAAGGGCAGGGTAACCGTGTGGAATCAGCCAAGTGTGTGGCTCCCCAAGGAAACGCTGTCGGGTGTCCCTGTGCCGTCCCCTGAGTTCCCTTGTAATAATTGTGGCACTGAGCTCAGTCAACTCTGTATTACTCAGAACATGAATCCCATTCACCTCGAAAAGTATGCCTTGTTCCCAAATAAATCACATTGCTTTTATTCCCAGTGATTTAGAATTTTCTTCATTTGGGCATTATTTCAAGAACAGTAATGAATATAAATCTCTCTACATAATATATAAACCCTTCTGCAAATCCCAGTATAATTATTCATTATGACTGAACATTCTACACTCATGGGCTCAATATCATTTTAAAGTTAAGTGAATTTGAAATGTTATGATTCTTCTCTTATACTGTCCCCGATCTAAGACAGATGATAACATTCCTTTATTTCAGCATCCCAGGTGAAATGTCAATGCTGGGTCAGAGTAAAGATTAAACTTCCTATCCACCTACAGTTTTTAAAGATTGGGGAACTGGAGAAGGCAGGAAAGAAAAAGAAGTTTCTTCTTCAGTTGGAACATGCAGCAATTGTGGAGAAAGATTTTTTTTAGTACTTAGAAACACACGTGTACATGTTCACATGTGAGAAAGAGACTTTAAAACCAGATCGGAGAAATGAGCTCCCCCCCAGCTAATGCTCCATGTGGTAACAGCTACGAAAACATCAAAAGACTTTTAGCTAAACAGGTGTTGTTGGTTTTTTTTAAAGATTTTATTTATTTACTTTTAGACAGAAGAGCAGGGAGGGAGAAAGAGAAGGAGAGAAACATCAGTGTGTGGTTGGTTGCCTCTCACGCAGCCCCACTGGGGACCTAGCCCACAACTCAGGCATGTGCACTGACTAGGAACCGAACCAGCGACCCTTTGGTTGGTAGGCTGGTGCTCAATCCACTGAGCCACACCAGCCAAGGCTTAACAAGTGTTCTTAATGTAATGTAAATGTTTAACCCTGACAACAAATATTAGTCCACTTGTGAAACTTTCTTACCCCATCTTTCTAATGAAGGATGCAATATTGTCCCAGCTCACCACGGGTCCCCAGAGTTGCTCTCGTTGCTGAAGACGGCACCTGTTCCCATTGGGATTGGGGTTGGGGGGTGTTCAGAAACGGAGATATGAAACCACCAGTAGCTGGACCCACAAACAGCCACAGAGATCTTGCCCTGCCCACCCCTTTAACAGGTGAACGATACGAGGTCACATGTGTAGACTCACACAGCAAGTTAGTGGTGGAGATGCAGACAGCCGAGGGCTCTGGAGTCCTGTACTTAGAGTGAGGGCTCCGGCCAGGGGACCCTGGCACCACCCTGATCAGGGTTGCCTGGGCCAAGTTCTTAGCCCCTGGCAAGCCCAGTTTCCTGTGGGATAAAAAGAGTACCAACCTCACAGGGCTCTTTTAAGAGCCCTGTGTCATAGTGAACACCCCGGTATATGGCATTTAGCCCGTGTCCGGTGCACTGTAGGTGGTCAGTAAATACTGAGAGTTGCCTTTATATGATAATGTTTAATTAGCATATGCTGCAGTGTTCGTAAAATATGGTGAAAATGAAAGTCACCCAGTACTTTACACAGTAATAAAACAGCATGTTCTCTACCCAATAAAATACTCACAAAGAGTATTAAAAACACCTATTTTTTTTTAAAGAACACCAGAGATGCCGACAGTTCTCAAAAATCAAGGACTAAACCTTCATGTACAAAGTGCTGACATTGAAGGGAGGCAATTTCCCTTCTGACACATTTTAAAAAGGGATTTAGTTTTTAGCTGCTTCCATTATTTTGGCAAGTGTGCGGCTGACTCAATTTTATGAAGCAGCTTTATTGAGATACGATTCACAGACCCATTCGGGGCGCAGAGCCCAGAGGTTTCCAGTGTATTCACAGGGTTGTGTAACCAGCACCGCAGTCTAATTTTAGAACATGGTCTTCGCCCAGAAAGAAACCCCGTGGCCATGAGCCGTGATTCACCGACTGTGTCATCCGCACGAGTCTCTCGGCCAGTTTTCGAAGGATTCGCATTCTGAGAGGACTCCTCCCCCCACCACGTGAGACTAGGGGTGTTTTCTGGCTCCTCTTCTTCTGCTGCCTCCTGTCAGGGTCCCCCCCACCCCCGCACACCCGAGGGTTTCGGTTCCCCCTGCCCCTTTCTCCGCTGTCCTTCCTCCCATGGGAAGAACTAAAGGGCTGACTCTTCAGTGTAAGGATGTGCAATGCTCGCGATTTCCATGCCATTGCCTTGACTACGTTCATACGCAAGTGCAAGTTAACGCAGCCTTGCCGAAGCGTGTAAAAGGAAAACCGTTCCACGCAGGTGAAACACCACGTCCACATGCCTATGACTCGGGCATAAAACACATTTATTGGTCAAAACTTTACAAACCGAGAGCTTTAAAAAAGCACACAGCAACACATGACGATAGAGAAAATACAAAAATTCACCATCTCCTGTAGAGATTTTAACAAGTGATAACCTATGATTTCATAGTTCGAACACTATAAAGGAGGAATCCTTGTAGATCAACTTCTCCCTTTTATTTAGAGAATTAAATTATTTCTTAGAAATACCAGGACTGAAGGTCACTGTGATGGTGGAGAAATTTCTGCAGCAATTTATGTTTTCTATATACCAAGAGAGTGCGGCATTCATTCGGACTCGCCGTATGCCTTGCAGGAAACACAGAGATAACTCTACATCTCTAACTAAATGTCATTACCATGACGGGAAAAAAAAAGTCAGCAGAAACCATAGACACAGAACCAGAAGGGACCTTGATCATTCACTCGGAACTTGACTTCTATAGGGAGGAAGTGAGCCCAGGTCTCCCAGCCCATTAGTGGAGGACCGGAGACCACAGGATTGTTTGAACGAGAAGCTGGGAGAGTGGAAGAGCGGAACACCCAGGTTCCCTGGGCGTGTTGCCTTCAAACCACTGCCACCGGGAGGGTCTAGAATCCAACCAGAAAGTCTTGGGCTGGTAGCTGATCTGGAAGTACAGTTGGCAAGAACTACGCAGCCCTGGGAATTCAAGGGAGGTCAGGTTTAGCTTTAAATTCTCAAGAGACCCGAAGATAATTCTTAATCAGAATGTGAGAGCTATAAAAATAAATATATATTTTTTAAAAAGCCAGCTGTGGCAACTAGCTGGATGAGACCAGAGCCAGAACAGACTCAGAGCTCGGGGCTATCAGTGATGTGAAAGAATCTATGTACACCTGTCTGAATAATGAGGTCACTGTGCCCCGTGTTAAGGACCACAAGATGGCTGAGAGCGATCCTTTGCAAGGTCTGTCACCACCCCGAGCACAGGCACCTCGCCTGATCCTGCCACTGCAATACAAAAGGCTCTGGTGCCTAAGCTTGCTGTTGAAAACTTGGACTGGACCCAGGATGCACCACCAAAATAGCTCTTGCAAAAGGGGAAAGTCAACAATGCAGTATACTAGTCTCAAAACAGAAAAATGTTCACGGCCCGAGGAAGACAGAGCTTGCTTGAGAGATGTCGACTCCCTTGCTTTAGGTGTATTTTAGATCACATTCTACTTTTTGGACACTTTTGTTTCCTCCAGGAACTGCTGGGTTTATCGATCAATGATCAGGACACAGAAGCACCTCCAGCTCAATCTAGAGCAGAGGAGTTGGTTCCAACCCACATTCAGCTTCATTGGGATTCAACACCTTCCTGGGCCGAACAAATAACTAGACAGACTGTGAAGTCCCTTCAGGCTCTGAAACTTGGCTTTGGTGACGTGCTCCATCCAGTGGCCAGGCCAGTGCTGTGAGCATCCAATTGAGAGATTGCGCCAGAGCCCAGATGGAAATGCACACAAGCCAGACTGTGCTACGGGGACTCATCCCAGGGGGTGGCTGTGGATTGGGGGAAACCTTCTCCTCCTCACTTAAGATATTAAGGCACTAAGCTGGAGGTGTTTGGGAAGGATCAGTCTCAAAAATCAACATATAAAGTACTAGAGAAATCCCTTTATTGTTAATACAAAGAACTGCTCCCGAGAGAAACTGGAGCAGCTAGTTGGTTGTTTGGAAGCTCCCTTATTTTTCTTTTTTAAAAAGATATACAAATTTGACTTGGAGGAACTCTCCCAGCACCACCAATAGACATCTTATCACTCAGTATGAAAAACACAGGAGATAGAGGAGAACCAGTGATCCTGGATTATTGTGTGTGTGTGGGGGGGGGGGATCCAATTAGCAAATCCCATCATCATGGTCTCTGGTCAGAGGAAGAGGTAGCCTGAAAGAGGCATCAAGTTACAGAGGCGTGGGCCTCCTGCCTGGGTTCCACGCCCTTGGATTCCCAGGACAGAAACCTATTGATAAAGGCTTGCTCACCATCCCTGAAGAATGTACACTTCGAACATCTTCACAGTTGTCGCGAAGGGTTTGTGTAAACCATGCAGCAACCCTTACCCTGGTTCCCATGGGACAGAGCAAAACTGGCTGGCCCTCTGAAGCCCCAAGGCTACGCCCTGCGATGTGAGCACAACGGACTTGGCCAGACACAGACCACTTCAATACTTCCAGACTGCGGACACAGGAAATGACAGCCTGCAGCCAGTGTGCATGCAACGCAGGAAAAAGAACTGTCCAAACCAAACAGCACGCACGCACATTTTCTCAAGGCAGCTATCCCAGAGTCTCTTCAGCGTTCTGGGGTTACTGCTGCTGCTGTTACTGTGTTGCTTTGCTGCTCCAATTTTAGGTGCAAGTGTGTAGCAGATGAGAACCTTTAAAATAGAGGTCTCCATCAAACCACACTTGTGGATACAATATACTACCCACATCTGCATTGCAGCAAAATTCACAACAGAAACTCATGTGCAATTTCTAGGGCTCCGTGGAACTTACAACTGTGCTTTGAGTTTATGGAAGGACTTCTGGCCTGGTGGGATTAACACCTCTGGAGACCCAAAGAAAAGAAGAGAACTCCCTAATATCTGTACCTAACAAGAGAATTTTGGGGTATGCCAAAATTAAAGGTACTGATGTCTAGATTTTTTAAATGGCGGAATTCTAGATAAATTCATCTGGGAAGAACTTTTCTCATTTTTCAATGCCTCTGGTTGACCACACATGACTGTATCTGCTAGACAACCAACCCAGCTGATGCGGGGGGTAGGGGTCAGCTTGGCCCTCTCCCTCCCAGCTATGAGGTTAAAATTCATACCTTTGTGAACCCGCAAAACACTATGTGTCATGAGCTTTTAATACACTCCAAAGGAAGGCAATTCATGCGTTTTATAATAACTTAAAGGCCTTTGGCTGTCATTATTGGGTCTTCCAGTTACATTCTGAAAGACTGACCTCTGACCAGCTGGAGGGTCATTTTATGTAAATGGTGTTCCTTTTCTATATATACAGAAATGTTTGTTTGTTTATTTGTTTTAGTACTGGGTAACAGGATTTACAGTTGAATTTCCACCATCTAGTAAAGGAAGTGTTTACTAGATTCTCTGCTTTCTACAAAAAAAAAAAAAAATCAAGATCATGGCCACAAACCCTTATGAAGAACAGTCAAGAGGGTTCCCTTTCGCCTGTGTGAAATGCGTCCCTGCTCAGGACATTACCCAGTGCAATTGCACTCTGCTCCGGCAGAACCCAATCCCGGCTCCAGCCCAGAGCTTGACGTTTTAGAAATGAGAGGCCTGAAGACATAGGACCAACGAGTGAGAACAACTCAGGGGAGTTACCCTCAAATACCCAGAGTGGAGGAAGTTCAGAAGCAGCACCCAGCAATGGACATTGTTTGGAAACTAGACATTCTTCTTACCGAATGATTTTTACTGCTAATTATTAGAAACGTCCCTCTGACTTGCTCCTTCCAGGCCACCCCGCAGTGCTGTCAACCATGGGCAGGGGACACTTACAGAGAATTATCTCCTTCTGAAAGTGGGTCTCGTCTTATTCCAGGTTTCATCCTACAGTAGAGCTTTAAAAATTCTTCACCTTATGGCAAAGTGTGCATGTTCCTCTGCAAATACATTAATTGAGTCATGTACTTACTTTGTGCCTACTAAGTGTGACGAGGTGACCCAGGCATAGTGAGACATCAGCACACAGAAGGGACAAGGTCCCTGGTCCCTGCTCTCACAGACGTGACTTCCAGTTCCGGGGAGACTCACATAACCCAAGTCAGCTGAGCACTGGACACATCTGACCAGAGGGGGCGCTCTCTTTCACAGCTTCTTATTCAAAGAGGACATGGGGGGAGAAAATTAAAACCATTTCTATTACCATAAAAACCTGTTGCAAACAGCGTCCTAAAGCCTGTGCCAAAGTGTGTCTTCCTCCTTCTCTACAGCGAGCGAACGTACTCCTAAGCAGATGCCCAGGATGAATACTTATCAGCATGAACAGAAACGAGGGGCCAGGCTCCAATCCACACGGGTTTCCGTGAGGGAGATTCATCCTTTTTGGAACACTGTGTAAAAATCCTGCCCCTTTCTATAAAAGTGTGCTGGTTGACATGATCTAATGTATCAAATGATCTAAGTCTTAAAAGTAACATTATTCACGGATAAAACAGTGTGTTCAAGTGAAAGAAAAATAAATAAATGATCGGTTCCAGCTGCACATGGCAGATTATTTTACACACTAACCCCTACATGTCCCAACGGTGCTGAACAGCAGCGACACACTTAGTGGAAACACCATCTTAAATTATTGTGATATTTAGAAAAGGGTCTAATTGGTTTCTGAAGCTGTCCTATTTTTTGAGGATGTAATTCGAAACCATTCCTGAACCTGGAACATGATTTCACCGTCCTAAATGTTAAGGAGGGTGATTAAAAGACTTCCAGTCATCTCTAACCTTATCCTATAATCACACACTGTATTCTTATTTTACACAGGTACACATCAACATCTTTCACTAAAACAACACTTTTCAGTTGCAAATTGATTCCATGGTCAAGGGAAAATAATAAACTTATTTAAAGGGTTTATCGTCAGGAGGGGATGTCTTCTCATCGTCCTTAATGGCTTCTGAGAGTACGGTTATCTAAAAACGACAGTCTCATGCTCTGGGATTCCGTACTTCCCCTTGTGCTCCTCGAATAATTTCCTTAGCTCCTCCATGTAGGTCTGATGCAGCTCCTCGACCTGCTCTGAGGTTGGGTGCAGAGTCTGATGAACAGGGATTGGATGGCCAACTGCAAACACAGAGAAAACATCAGACGTGAGAAGCAAAAACGACTCCACCCCAAATGACTGCCTCAGTGGCCAGCCCTGGAAAGACCTCCCGATCGGGACCCATGAGGCCTGCGGGCTCCAAGCCCCATTTCATTTTCCTGGCTGCTGACGGTGGTCACCTTATCCCGCCTGATTACAAATAAAGAACTTTCCTTCTCGTCAGACAGGGATTGTCTGCGCCCTGGTGGTTTGGACTTGGAGTCAAGTGAACCCCTGTGTGGACCGCAGCTGTGAGGGAAGAGGCCACAGCTTGTGTACCCATCACCAGTGCGCCCCCTCGGGGACAGCTGACAGCCAGACCACAGTCCCCTCTTATCACTCACTGACTGTGAGATCTTGACTCATGAGGCATCAACCCTCTGCTCTCTGTGTAATGGCACCCTAAAAAATTCAAAGATGTCTTTGTAGCTAAATATCTGTACTAGGAAACTTACATGATCACAAGGATGCCACCGTTTATAAGAGTGGAAATCAGAACCAACCAAAAGGCTCAGTAGAAAAGTTACTAAATAAACCATCAGACATTCATTCAATGGAATCCTAGGCAGCAACTTTTTAATTAAATAATATTTTTGTAACTATGTATAGTGATGAAGTTCATTAGATTTACTGTGCTCATTTTGCAATATATACCAATACCAAATCAATACATTGTACACCTGAAACTAACAGAAATGCAATTACACTTCAATTTTTTCAAATGAAATAATAAATATGCAATACACAGAGATGTCTAAATGTATTGAGTGGGAAAGAAGTTGTAAAAAATCGTATGATCTCACTTATGAAAAAATTATATTTCTAGGTGCACAATAAGCTTTTTGTGTATTTAAAAAGTATGGAAAAAGAGGTTGATAACTATTACCTCAAGCAAAAAAGGAGAGAGGAAGAAATTTTCATTTTATCTGTATTATGTAAATTTTCTACAGTGAGAATACATATGTTTAACCTCTGTAATCAAAGACGAACTAATTCATTTTTTAAAAACTGGTAACTTCCAATGCATTTTCAAATGCATTTGTATAATAAATAAGTTTAATCTCACTTGTCTCAGATTTTAGAGAATACAGGTAGGAAGGTACACAGGGCTTTTGCTCTTTTGGGTCCTTTCTGCTATTCACTGCGCCCTCTGCTGGTCTAGTGCTGCTATTAAAATGTACAGGATGTTCAATGACCAGCTGGGTGGCAAACTGCTTATTACTTTTGATTCATCAGCCTGGACATGAGGTCCAGTGGGGCTGATGAGAGTAATAGAATAGAACTCATAGGAAAGGAGGTTTCCTTTGCCTACCCTGAGTTGCCCTGTGCTACATCCAAGCTCAAATCCAAGTCAGTAACAGCAGGTGGTTACTTAAGGGAGAACCAAGGAGGTACATTTGTATATATAGACCCTTACTGCAACATTTTAGCAAAGTGCTAAATTTTTAACCATTTGTAGCCTCAAGAAGCTTGTGTACAGTTTTCTTTCAGTCTGGAGGTCGAATTTCTATATAGTAGACATCAGTCCTTTGTCATCCAACATAAAGAACTAGAAGCAGAAGAGAGGTGGGGGAGGCAGAAGAGGTAAAAGGGGATGAACAGTGATGGAGATTTGATAGACACCTGAAACCTACATAATTTTATTAACCAATGCCACCCCAGGACATTCAATAAATTAAAAAAAAAGAATTTGGTAGTTATACAGCTGACAAAGTAAAGAAGTAGAAACATAACCGTCTGTGTCTGTTGTGGTTGGAAACACAGGCTGAGGCTAAGACGCTGGGTGGAAGTGGGAGCTGGTGACGCACAGGAACCACAGGGCCGGGCCGGGTCTGGTGCTGGCCCCCCAGTAGGCACGTTGAGCTCAGGAGAAAGGTCCTCCCTCGCCTGCATTTTCACACGTAAAGGACGTAAAGTGCAATTGGGAAGATTCTGACGCTCCCTTTCAGCTCCGAACTTTGCTGTTTGGGGTGACGTCTACCTGTCAGTCTACTAGCAAATTCCTGGTTTTATAGGAAAAGCTTCGGTTTTCTTAGTGAAATTATCCCAAGGACAGAGGTCAAGTGCAACTATTTGGGATGGGAGCAAGGGACCTGGAAAGAGAGGCACAGTTGTCTAAGACAAGGTGTTGTGTTCCCAGCTTACTTTGTATGAGGACGTTCTGAAATCGGGTCTTATTTTCTATGAGCTATCTTACAGTCAACTTCAGTCCCCTTCAGTGCACTTCCTTGTACTTCAGAGAGTTCTTCCAGAGAGCTCAAACAGGCCTGTTGTATTTAGCATCACAAGACCTTTCTCTGCAAATGTGTGGCAGTCATACTTGCCTTCTCCTGTTTACATGGACAGAAGCTGAGATGGTGGAAGTTGCCAAACTTACACACACACAGCAGAGGAAATGGTGATTTAAACCCAGTATTTCTGCCCCTCATTACAAAACTGACCTGAACTTGGATTAAAGAGTAAGAAAACTTTTTCCATTCTTCTCAGGGATCAAGACGGAGGGCACAAACAAAATTAGCAAATCTGAGAAGGGTCTCCTGAGCCCTAAAAGACCAGAGTTCTCATCTCCACAAACAGGAGATGCTTACTACTAAGAAGAAGAAAAAAAACCTCTTCAACCTAAAATGGAGTCAGTGGCAAACGGCCGCATAATTCTCTTTTTACAATACCAAGGGAAAAACATCTGCCTCAGACTGCTCTTGGCAAGAGAACTCCCCGCCCTGGAAAAACCACCCAACATCTACTTGTGGCAGAGTCAGGAATCCAACCCTCTTTTAGGTTTTGGTGCTTTTTAGGGCTGGCAGGCCACGCGTCCCCTTTTCCAAGTCCATGTGACAACTGGAGGTTCGTTACGCGTTTTCGCTGCCCGAGGCAGCCGCACTCTGTCTAAGGTGCTGGGCTGCATTTATCGAAGGTGAAGAACTCGCGACTCTGGGAGCCGCTGTATTTACAACTGGAGAATGATTTGCACATGGACATTATTTCCTTCTCACCAGGGCAAAGCGCAGATCTCTGACAAAAAGAAATCTTTGTTCTGCTTTTCTGTAATTATGAAAACTCTGCAGTTTCTCTCTCTAATGGCCTCACATGGGAATTACTTTCTCTAGAAGCTACACGGCTGTACAGGAGAGAAAGAACAGGCAGAGAGCTGCGTGACAGTGTGGGCGAAGGGTCCCAGTGGGGGCGCCAGATGGAACCTAGGCGTCAACAGACGCCCACCGTGAGTGTGCGTGGGGTGTGTGCCTGGTGTGTGTAAGTGTGTCTACATACACGCATTACACACCACGCACTCAAGAACATTTACCGAGCACCTTATATGTTATACTGGGCACCATACTGATCCCATCAACATTATGTACTTTAATCTCTCCAATTAAAATTTCAATTAAAGGTTCCTCTTCCATTCTTTCTATTTCAGAGAATACTTTAGCGTGGTTTTTTTTTTCCTATCAGGATATAATAATGACTTGAAACATAATAGACTACTTTTTTCCTCATGTGGTTTCAAAGCAATTTTATTTAAATAAAGTACATCCCTTCTCCATCTTTTTATTTAAAAAATTTTTCAAACCTATAGAAAAACTAATGCAATAATCACTTACATACCCTTCCACTACACTCACCAATTTCAAACCTTTTGCAAACAGATGTATATGAATATCATATACAAGGGGGGAACTAATAAAACCCAGAATTATCTCCTGGAGGGTGGGCCCCTTGTAGTACTGGCTTTCCCAGGTAGGTGATGTTCTAGGAACCCATCTGTATCAGTGTGCCAGCTGGCATTGTTGTGAGAGGCTGCGTTTGGCTTCAGTGAATTTTTTTTGAAGACTCAACACATTTGCCCAGGTCATGATGGGTGATTTACAAGCACACCAGACCACACTGCACTGAGTGTTGAGCAGTTTTTGACCAAAACTGCCTGACTCCCTGTTCCACCCTCCCTGCTCGCCCTACCTCACCCTAAGAAACTTTGTTTCATTTCCTCAGATGAAAGAAGTCCTCAGAGGGAAATTTTTTGCCAATGTGGAAGAGGTGAAACAAAAAAACAGCAGAAGTGCTAAACAGCATCAAAACTGATGGATTCAAACTGTACTGAGCAGTGGGAGAAAGTCTCGATTGGTGTATTGCATCAAATGGAGAGTATTTTGATGGTGACTAAAGCTTAAACATGTAAGAATAAATACACAATTTTTTTATAAATCCTGTTTTGGGGCCCCCTTTGTACGTAGTTACATGCGTATTATTATTTTTATTTTTGTAGAACCATCTGAAAGTTGCAGACGACAGCAATTCAATCACACTGATCATCCCTACATACTTCATTCGGCACACAAGAGCAAAGACACTGTCTCACATAACAAGACCATTACCATACCCAAGAAATTTAACCTCTACCGCATATTACTTTGTACTGAACCCACGTTTGAACTTGATCAACTGTCTCAGTTGTACCCTTTCTCGTTTTTTCCCCCAGTCCATGGCAGCTGTCATGTCTCTGAGTTCCCACGCTCTTCTCTGGTATTTCACGACACTGACATTTTTTGGAGAGTCAAGATCAGTTTTTTTGTACCAAGTCCTACAACCGGATCTGTGTGATTACATCCTCATTGTCGGATTCAGATGACCATTTCAGCCAGGATCCCTACTTACACAAGGAAATTGAAATATATTTGGCAGCTGTCAACGATCTGGTCAGAAACTCATTTTCTGCTCTGTAAACTCACCTGCATACACTCACCTGGCACCTGGAGGCCCCAGGGTGCTCCCCCGCCCCCCTCGGATCAGCTCATCTACTCCCGAGGGACCCTTTGAGAAGACAGGCAACGGGCAATTTTAACTGTCTGCCCTTTAGAGTTGGAAACGCTGAGGCTCAGAGAAGATAAGGGAGACGTTCTTAGTCACTCGCGTCAGACCGCAAACCACAGACTTCCTCAGAACACCTTCCCCGGTGCAGTATCAGCTGTGAGTGGGGATGGCACCTGCGGATGGCCAGAACCAATGCCTTTTTCTTTTTTAGAGAGAGAGAGTGGAAGGAAGAGAGACACATCGATTTGTCGTTTCCCTTATTTTTGCATTCACTGGTTGATTCTTTTTTAAAAGATTTTATTTATTTTTTTAGAGAGAGGGGTAGGGAGAGGAACATCGATTGGTTACCTCACACATGCCCCCAGCTGGGGACCTGGTCTGCAACCCGGGCATGTGCCCCGACTGGGAATCAAACTAGCAGCCCCTTGGTGTGCAGACCAGCACTCAATCCACTGAGCCACAACAGCCAGGGCAAGAACCAATGTCGTAATGGCATTGTTTGTATATTTTCAATGTTGCCATAAGAATCCAAATGAAATAAATACTTCTGTCATAGCTACAATCGGAAGACAGGCTGAGGGGTTAGCAGGAGGGCAGCAGAAGTGTCGAGGCCAGCGAAGATGGGACTGGATCTCTCTCTGTGCCACACGCAAACACAGCTGGTGAGCCTATCTGGGTATCCATACTGCAAATGACCTAACACTGGGACTTTATGGCAAATGACGACTAATTAATATAAAGGGATGTGGCAGTTAGAAAATCACCAGCTGGCAGCCACAACTGTAATAATGGAGTCAGGTCAGAATTACCAATGGTTGGTAAAAACGAGTGAGCAAAGTTTAATAAAGAACAGGGTATGCCCTGGACTGGTGGCTCAGCTGGTTGAAGCACCATCCTGTACACCAAAAGGTCGTGGGTTCGATCCCCAGTCAGGGTGCATACCTAAGTTGTGGGTTCAAGCTCTCCGGTTGAGGCATATATGGGAGGCAATCAATTGATGTTTCTTCCTCACATTGACGTTGCTCTTGTCTCTCTCACTCTTCCCCCCTCTCTCTCTTTCTCCCCTCCCCCACTCTCTCTGCTCACTCTTTTTCTCCCTTCCTCCCTCTCTAAAAATCTATGAATGTATCCTCAGATGAAGATTTAAAAAAAAGGGTAAGTCCACAGTCTCCAAGTAACACTACCCTCAAATAACATCTCAATGAAGAAAAAATAATCTCTATATCTATACATATAACACATAACATATACATGTAAATATAGAAAGATTTATATAGACAAACCCACAGATTTATCCTGATAGTGAAAAACCTGGCAAACCCCAAAGGGAGCAAAGCTAACATCACCAGCATCCAGACAAAGCGCCATCGAGCGCCCCCTGCCGTCACGTGCTGAGGACACAGCACCGTTTCTGCGGAATACCCGCCGACGCGCACAGTCGGGACACGGTCATGGAGAAACGCACCAACCCAAGACAAGGAAGCAAAAAAATCGTTACTCTTTACGATGAATTTGAATCTGGCCATGTTGTGCTCGCTTCGGCAGCACATATACTAAAATTGAATCTGGCCATGTCCATTTGACCTTTGACCAATTAACTACTTGTCAGTATAACGTAACCAGGCTGTCTAAATGACAAAGTGCTTAAAAAGAAATGTCCCCAGGGGGATGAATGGTGACAGATGGGGACTTTGGTGGTGAACACAGGGTACAGTGCACAGATGATGTGTTGTAGAAGTGTACACCTGAACCTCATATACTTTTATTAAGCAATGCGACCCCAGCAAACTCAGTACAATGAAAATAAATAAATAAACAAGTATTTAACCCAGCCAGGTGAGAACTATCATTGTTTAACCTGCAAACATATGCTTGCTTTGACTATTCCCAATTTATTTCGGGGTACATATGTGTTATACTTAATTAAACATTTAGATCCTAAAAACATGTCTTAAATTTTTTATATCCCCCAAAATATCAACTACAGTAAAAATAGAAAATATAAATATCACATAAAATATCAAAATGACTAATTGAAAATATGCCAAAAAATGAAACCAGCTTATCCTAAAAAAACACAACTAAAGACTTACACTTATCTCAGTATTTCTATTGCACTAACTAATCAACGTCTTCTAACATTCCATCTCAGTTAAATATAGCATTTAAAATGTCACGTGACCGCACGGGAGCCTCAAAGCTCTTATAAACTAACAGTAGTATAATCCCATCCCGATGAAACAGACCTAAAAAAGAAAACATTTGCGTTTCATTTCATGGGCTATCCGTGGTGACACTACTACTTCTAGTTTCCTAGGAAGTATACAATTTTGGTTAACTCTGCTATTACCACCTGACTCCACAATTTCAACTCTCCAGCTCCTTTTCAATCGAAGACCTAATTACTTTCCTCCTCAGTTTTTTTATCAACAGTCTGTCACCCTCCTGCCCCACCCCCACTTCCCTAAACATGCAACTTTCAAAAATAAAATCAGTCTATATTAAGATATGCATAAATACATCTACACTGCAAAAAATGCTTTTGATATAGAAACTGATGCCTATGTGAATTGAACATGACGAAGACATCTTTTATCCAGAAATCTGCATATATTAATAGGCTCTGATGGAACTTCATCTAAGAATCTGCTACAGAGAAGACAGATTCATCCTGGAGGATTAGAAACTTTACTTCTCAAATTGGATTCCACCTGTAGTTCAAGAGCAGGAATCTTAGAAGTCATCAATTCCTATTCAAATGGAAAATATGGTCCTTTTGTAAATAACAGGCACATTGTAGAATTATTATTTTAGAAAGATCTTACTCGAAGCCACGTCTCTGGCATTAGCCCCTCAGTCAAGACGAATAAACACTGCTCAAAGGAAGGTAACATTTCTACAGTTTTGACAAGCCTTTCGTCTCTGATGTACGTACCAACAGTGTGAATGGGTTTCCTGTACGGCACTAGTCCAAAATTGTACTGGAAAATGCCCCTGGCGTGGAACAATGGCAAAGCGAAACCCATGATCTTCTGCATTTTATTCTGCACGCTTCGAAGCAACGAGCCTTCAGGGTTGCTCACTTGTTTAAATAGTTCGTTTTCACCAAAAGAAAACACTGGAACCAAGTAGGCACTACACATACCAAAAAACAGGGGGAGGGGAGAATCAGAATTTTAAATGAAACAGATTGAAAGATGTTATTCTGTCCAACTGACTTTGCAACAGACTTCTAACAGTTCGTTAGTGTCCCCTTCCTAGACTGCTAACTTTGTGTTCCACACTGACTTACACTTGACTTTCTTGGTTGGGGGCGGGTACATGAGCAGTCTAGTAGTTGGTGGAGTTTTACTCTATAGAAAATCAGGGTTCCAGGAAAATCTTTCTTCTGTAGTTTTGGCCATGGTTCTTTTGTTTGTTTGGCTGGAAATCTCATGTGTCTTTGTGTGCTTTGTTTTTAAAGAGTTTAGTTATCGAGTGTCATGGCATTGAGATGTGGGAAGGTCAATCCCATGTGCCATGAACATCCACAGGAGGTGGACAGGAGAAAGGCTGCAAAAATTACTTGACTCCTTTGTGCTCACTTAACAGTGTCGAAATGAAGAGCCACTTACCCGTGGGTCAAAGCAATTTTCACAAAGCCTTTCCGCTGGCGGATGAACAGAGTGAATTTCCCAGGATGGGCATCTAACGACTCCTCTGCACCCCCGAGGACAATGACTGAAATGTTTCCACCTCCCTCCTTGCTCAGCACATGGGACACACTTTTCTTAGAAACGGAGACTGGCCCTTAGTGAATAAAACAAAAGGAATAACTAATGATCCTTTTTTAAACATTAAAACATTTTAATCATAATACTTTATGGCATCGGAGATCATCTAACAAGATTTTCTACACTGCTTAGACTCTGTCTGCCTCAACAGCTCAAAGACCCCCTCAAACTCCAGGCTTCCAAACCCCATGGACCAAATTCTTCAACGAAGTTGTTCCTTGTCCAACAATTCCGATCAAGGTGACTGGAACCATCATCTGTCCTGTCGCTCAAATCAGAAACTGAGTCCCATGTGTATTCCCCTCTTCTTAGCCGCCACGCTGGCCCATCTTTTGCTCAAAATCATTCGTTCAGCACCTGCTACAGGGAAGACACCCTGCTAGATGCTGAGGTATGGGGACATTTTCACCATATGCTGCCTTCATGAGGCCGAATCAGTCATTCAATCTTGTTGACCCTCTCAACCCTTTTTCATATTAATCCCCTCTTCTGCATTTCCACTGCCACCGTCACTGTGCCAGCTGAGCCACAGCACCTGTCCCTGCTCACTGCCACAGGCCCCTCCCATCAGTCCCAAAGCATGCAGGCTCCCCTCCCACCAATGCATCTGCTGTCTGAACGACCTTTCTAGCATGCAAACGACAGTCAGGTCCCTCTTTTGCTCAAAGGTCCCCACAGGTTCCCATGGCTCACTACAAGGCAAAAGCTAAAGTCCTCCACAGACAAGACTGTTGTAATCTGATCTCCACTCCCTGCCCCGGCGTGAAGGGGCAGACAGAGCCTTGAAACACAACACACTCTGGCTGACCCCTGCTGGGCCCATACTCACCAGCCTGAGCCAGGAGGACCGGTGTGGAGCAGGACTGAAGCACTTACAGCCATAGAAATCTCTTGAGTGAGAGCAAATCGGACACCTGATCATAAAGTATCTCTCAAACTCTGCTGGTTCTTTGCTAGATGAGGTCTGGCACACATGTCTGTCTGTCTGTCTTTGACACCCAGACTGCACTTGCTGAGGCAGACGCAGAGTAGACGGCAGCCTCAGACCAGGGCCTGTCCCGGGAAGCAGATTTTGGGGAGGCATTGAAAGTTCTCTAATCTGACACAGGAGTGGCCTGAACTTCCATTGGCTATACATTTGGATATTTTTATTTCGTTTTTTTCTGTAAAAAAATTATTGAATTTATTGGGGTGGCATTGGTTAGTAAAATCATGTAGGTTTCAGATGTACAGTTCACCACCCCATGTCGAGTCTCCTTCCATCACCATGTATCCCCCCTTTACCCTGTTCTCCCCCGCCCTGCTTTCCCTCTGGTAATCACCACACTGTTGTCTGTGTGTGTGTGTGTTTTACTTAATCCCTCCACCTTTTTGTAACCTGGACTCCATTCCCTTCCCCGCTGACAGCTGTCAGTCTGTTCTCTACATCTATAAGTCTCTATTTGTGTGTTAGTTTATTTAGTTTATTATTTTCCACATGTAAATGAGATCATATGGTACTTGTCTTTCTTTGACTTATTTCACTTAGTGAAATACTCCCCAGGTTCATCCATGCTGTCACAGATGGTAAGATTTCCTTTTTTTAACAGCTGAGTAAAATTCCATTGTGTAAATGTACACTTATGTAGTTTTTAGAACACTTGACGTCAAACACAGGAAAGTTCTCACGGGGTCGTAATGCCGTGATGGGCAGACAGACAGGCCTCGTCTCAGACGCTGGCTCTAGCAAATGGCAGTGGCGGTGGGGCCACCACAAGGAGGGCGACTCCCAGGCTGCTGACCGCGTGCAGTGGGGAGGGCGCACCTGCATCTCCTGTGCCGCAAATTTGCCACACCTGCTCTCAGTCACGCCACTCAAACGCACCTACGGCTGCTCTTTGAATCCACAAACTATGTGAGTGTCTGTAAACATATTTCTGTGCTTTCTGAAATTTTTAAAAGGCTTCTAAAGTTTCCCTTTAATTGTCTTGTATAAAACTCTAATTTCTTTGTTATTTTGTTCCTTAGATTCCCCATATGTGCGAAATCAGGTGGTACTTGTCTTTCTCTGACTGACCGATTTCACTTGCCATGATGCTCTCCAGGCCCATCCACGCTGTCAGGAGGGGAAACCAACAAAATAGAGACAGACTCATAGACAGAGAACAGACTGACAGTGTTGGAGGGTAAGGGAGCAGGGCTGGGCGGAAAAGTAAAGGGATTAGCAAAAAAACCCCTCATAGGCATAGACAATAGTACGGTGGTCACCAAAGGGAATGGGGGTGAGAAGAGGCAGAACAGAGTAAAGGGGGGATAAATGGTGATAGAAGGAGACTTGACTGGGGGTGGTGAACACACAACACAATATACAGATGACGTATTATAGAATTATGCACCTGAAACCTATATAATTTAATCAACCAATGTCACTCCAATAAATTCAATTAAAAAAAAGAAGAAAAACCTAACCCAACGTCTGCAAAACCAAGGAAAAGAAGGGATCTTTTCCTCTGTAGTAGTTCGGGAGGTTTAGTGCTCCCCCTAGAGGCCACATGCAGTGTCAGCCTCGACTGCACTGAGCCCGGGGCCATGTGGGAGAAGGTCCATAAACGGACCCTAAAAATGCAGCCACAGAACCGGGTCCTGTAGTGTTCAGTGATTTTCTGTCAGGCATTAATGACAACAGAGACTGGTCAATTAACAGCAAGTAGTGAAAACGTGGAAGACCATGGAAAATTTTACCTCTGAACATGCCATTTATTGATTCTGAAATTGAAATTTTTCAAAAAAGAAACTACCCATTTCTCTTTCTATCTGAGAAAGCCAAAGACGGTAATACACATAAAGCACTTTCTAAGTTACTGTAGTTTATGGTTGGTCGATAACTTGCTCAAATTGGAAAACCAACAATCTGAGCCCCTTCCGTCGAGGTGAGAGCTTTCGGCAGAAGCTCACACAGTGTCTTTGTAGCATTTCAGCTGAGTGTAACCCCCAGAATCAATAGAACTGCAACTTCTCTGACCAAAGCGCCTTCCACTAGTTCAGAGCAGCAAAGTGCAGTCAAGGAAGTCTTGTTTCTGACCCAAGCCATATGTAATCTGGGAAGCCAGAGTTGGCAGATTATGTTTAGTTTACAGCAGGGAAGCAACAGATAGTAGATTATATATACTGCCATTACCTCAAGGCACATCGAAGGACATTTCTCACCTCTAATATTCCTAAAGGTATACAAGATACCTTTTCGCAGGTGCAATGTATCCTTTGTTCGCTTCTCTCCCCCGCATCTGTATACAAATACACTCATGCATTTATCCTTTTGTTAAATTCACGTCTATTGACTATCCCTAGCTTCCGGGCACTATGCTAGATACCTGGGTGGAACAACAAAAAAAAGACAGTCTGTGCGTTGCTGGCACTTTGGGGAGTGCCGCGAGGAGGCAGGAACATCACCTAGAACACGAAGCGCCCTGTTGGGATACAGATGCTGAGGACCTTTACCCGCACTGGGTTTGGGGAGGGGGCGTGCCCGGGGCCCTGCCCCCCAGAGCCCTGCAGAACCAGCAGCGCCCCCACTCACCGCTGCTCATCAGATACTCCCGGAAGAGCGGGCACCGGAACCAAACCGGGAGCACGTGGAGGTAGGCGGTGAAGCCAGGGAACAGCTCCGTGAACGCCGAATAGTTTGTGCAAAAATTCCCAAATGCTCCAGCCACGAGCACTCCATGGGGGTGAAACCCGAATATGTAGTTGTGGTTTGGATCCAAATCCGTGGTTTTGATGAGCTGCAACACATGCATATCAAGATGTTTTTCTTTTCCTAATGTTCCCTGATTAGTTTCCAGGAAGAAACAAAATGACACACAATCGCTTTGTACATGAACACAATACAATATACAGATGATGAGTCATAGAACTGTCCACCTGAAACCTATGTAATTTTATTAACCTGTGTCATGCTGATAAATTTAACAAAAATGAAGACAAGTAAATAAAATACATTAGAACTTTAAAAAAGAGGAAATAAAGAATATGACTTTTTGTTCTCTGGGTGAGAGCTTTTCCCCAGTATAGATTTTACCCCCACCCGAGGACATTTTTTTTATTGTTTAGAGAGAGGAAGGGAGAGAGAGAAACATTGATTAGTTGCCTCTCTCACGCACGCGTCCTGGCCAGGCGTCAACCCCACAACGTAGGGGTGTGCCCTAACCAGAATTCGAACCCACAACCCTCCCTTAAGGGACAACACTCCAACTGAGCCACACTGGCCAGGGCCCCCCAATTTTATCTATTTCCTGATCCCAGAGCCCCTCCCCAGAGCCTTCTAAATTTCGATTTAGCTTACAGTCCATTCAGTAACTTGGGCTGACTTGTACACTTTCTCCCCTAAAAGGAGAAAAGTTTGAAACATGTATAATCAAAATGTTTCATTCTTCTCAAAATCATACTATTTAAGACAAGTCTACTCACATGAATTGGAAAATAGTCCTTAAAGTGCTTCCAAACGGCCCAGCTTCTGACCCAGTTGGATCTCCTGCCTCCTTGCTCCGGGGTTCGCCAGTCAAAGTAAAGCCATGTCAAATACGGGATGTAGAGGAACCAATAGTTGTATATGATCAGGAGCAGGAGGATTCCAACGCACACCTCCGCTGTAAGGAAGAGAAGACCTCAGGAATCAGGGTCCGTCGGCATCTGCTCACTATTGTCCAATCACTGGCCCGTGGAGGGGGACTTAATACAGACAACAGGTGTTAAACTAAGTCTCAGTTCAAGTGGGTAATAAATCAAGACAGCAATGACCTAGTATTATTTGACATTGAGTGGCTGTTTACAATATACCAAGTATTGTATTGTGTATTCTGCCAAAATTGTTCCATGTAATCCTCACAAATCCCCGGTATCAATGAAGCAGCCACAGCATTCCCTATGTCCTCGCTGTAGAAGAGAGGATGGCAGCTTAGAGAGGTTCAGAGAATTGCACAAGCCACGTAGAATATACATGGTTGATCTGTCTAAATTCAAAGTTCACACCGACTCCCTGACACTAGATATGTGGTGGGTGAGGAGGAGGCAGGGTCAGCAGGGGGTCACGCCGGACAGGGGGTGCGGAGAGGGGTTCCTACAACAGGTGTTCACCTTGACCGAGGAGCGGCTGTTATGCATGTGCTCACACAGGGGCCCAGGCCAGCGACAAACTTTGTTTTCAGGAACTCCACTGCCAGAGACAGCAAGGGTATCGGAGGGATTCTTTCCATCGCAGCTCATCGATCACTACCTGCACCATTCCACAGTGACAGAGCAAAAGCCAACTGCTCATGCACCTAATGAAGCAAGAGCTGACCAAACCTGACCTGGGTAATAATGAGAAGAACACACACCTTAAAGCAATACCATAAGCTAAGCTAGAGATTTCCTTTTTATGTGTGTGCTACATGTTACACTCAAATATTTACAGAAAGAGAAATATATCAACAAGAGGGGAAGGAGCATAAAGACGTTAAAGCTTGGCACATAGCAGGTGCTCAGTAAGTGCCAGCTGCTACTGCTATTTTAAGGAGACCTCTGCTCTGACGGGCGGCAGTCCTGGTCCAGGGCTGACTTCAGGCCCCCAAGTCCTACCCACTGCCCGCTGACTCAGCTAAAAGGAGCTCTGTCCTCACCCGATCCATCACGGTCCCGGAGGAACAGTGTCTTGATCTATCATTGTTTTATAGACACACACTTTTTTTTCTACCCAAACCAGAACATGTATGTGCGTATATTGTTTTCTTCGGGAAACATATAAATGAAAAAAATTCCCAGTATAGATTTAAGCCAAAAAGAGACTTGAACTCCATCCAAGGAGTGTGGGTTAGCGGTTAAAAGAATCATATGGTTTGCACAGTCCTCTCTGCGGACTGTTTTGTTGCATGCTCAGACCGCCAACAGAGTTTCCATGAGACCGGAAAGGAGGCCCAGCGAGTGTCCTCTGCCCTCATTCCTACAAGGAACATTCTACAGGTTCCAGCTTGTGCCCTTTTTTTATTACAAAATCTTTTATTACAAAATCATAAGCATGTCATTCTGTAACATAACACTATCCCACTCAGGCACACCAGATGACACTTTAGGGGAAGTGTTCAAATTCAAACTACAAATTGCTGCACCGGTATGGTCACCCTACCAGCCACTCTCACGTAGGCGGTGCTTCTGCCGGGCCCTGTATTTTGCTTCATCTACTTCCCACTCCCCAGCCCCGAGTGCTGACAATTCACCACCATTGGTTGATTATTTTACAAAAGCAGGCAAACAATGCATAAGAAACTTAGGCAGGTCTCATTATTCTGTGCTCTGAGCTACATCCCGTGAGCTAAGAGCAGAGAGGGGAGAGAAGAGCTACTGAGGAGCGACCGCCCCCCGCCCTCATGGACCCCGTCCTGCAGCCCTGAAGGAGCACAGTACGGCCCCTGTGTGCGGCTGTGGAAACTGAGGCCAGGCACTGTAAGCATCCGAAGGACTCGTACCTGGACCTGAGAAATCCCAAACCCATGCACCACTTTCACAAAACCAAACCACCCCCTGCTAATGGTCCCAACATCATAAACCTGTAAGTGTTTACTGTACCTGCACAAGCAGGTTTATAAGGACAGAGACTCAGGCAAATGTGATGTTCAGGGTTGGTGGGTTTGTTTTTCTTTTTTAACTACAATGATGGGGAAACTGAGACTGAAAGCAAATTTATTTGATTTCAACCACAGAGTCGAGAGCAGATGCAGGAATCAAGTCCCCTGGCTGCTAAGTCAGTCAGTGTTCCACTCACCCAACTACACACATCCTGTGCCTGAATACACATTTGTATCTCCTTCCTCGTCATCATATGGTTTGCACATGTAATGGTTAAACATGAATCTGGAATTGTACTTCCTATGCTGGGACCTTCCCCGACCAGAGGCCTGACCTGGGGCAAGTCCTTTTACTCCTGGAGCCTCAGTTCCTTTCCCTGTGAAACAGGAGAAGGACAGAACCTCTGTCCAAGGACAGTGGCAAGACTGAACATGGAGACTCGACAGTGTCTGGCATGGAGCAGGCACTCGGCAAATGGGAGCCACCATTACACATGTATGTTTTTACTATTACACAGGCAGAATGCAAGAAGTAGAAGGGGATAAAATGCCACCCACATTCCGGTCACCCAGCAAAAATTACTGTTAAAACTTTCCTGTACGCACTCCTGTGTTCGCTGCGGCATTATTCACAGTGTCAAGACAGGAAACGAACTAAGTGCTCTTTGATGGGTGATTGGATCAAGACGGTATGGGCATATATATATATATATACAAGGGAACACTACTCGGCTGTAGGAAAAGATGAAATACTGCCATTCGCAACGTGGATGGATCTTGAGAAAGTAAAGGGGGTCAAACACATGGTGAGAGAAGAGGCTTTGGTGAGCACACCGTGCACTATGCCGATGATGTATGATAAGTGTGTTCAAGGTTATGGAATTATATGCTTGAAACATGTATAATTTTGTTAACCGATATCACCTCATTAAACTTAATAAAATAAAAAGACTTCCTTTGTAATCTTTTTTTCTAGAAACAGGTTGTATTTCTTTAACATGGTGGATCACATACATTTTTTACTCTGTATTTTATCACTCGCAATGTTCTCACATTAGCTGTTTGGTATTATGAACATGGTAATATAAACGTTCACAAATGTTACTTTAGTAACATTTATCAGTGCTAATCAGTGCTAAGTCAACCATTACTTTCTCTTTGAACATTGGGGGTCTAATAAGTTTTCTCTATGAACGTGTATTTGCATGAAGCTTCCCCGCTTTTTATTGTCCTCTCACAGGGCAGCACATCACATACTGGGTCACCAAGCAGACACAGCTTTGTCACTTGATACACTTCGATGCCTTCCTATCTAAAGGGGTTGTTCTAATTTAAACTCCCATTCCACAAATTGCATACATTCTTTTATATTTATCATAAACAGCACTGAAATTTTTTTTTAACCCTTGGTCCTAAACAGAATCAAAGGCAGAAAACGCTACAAAAACTAGGTAAAGAGATCACCTCTAATTTCTATTTTTATCTCATTAAGCAATCCAAGGTAACACGAGTCTTCTAAATTGGAGGTCAAAGACACACGGAAGATACAAAGGCTACTCCAGCATATAGTGCAGCTCTCAATGCTGATGCTGATACCTGCTAAAATTGTCTACATTCACAAACCAAGTCACACCGAAGGCCTGAATTTCAGCGGCCTTGACCTAGTACCTCCTGGATGAAACACCACGGGTCAGCCCCTATCACTCACCCTCCCAGAGGCTCAACTTTCTCTACACTGTTGCGGCACCTGCCTCCCACTATTTTTTTTATCAAGGTGAAATTCACTTAATGTAAATGAACCCTTTCAAATAGGTCAATCTAGCAGCACTTAGAGTATTAATAATGTTGTACAAGTACCGCCTCTACCTAGTTCTGAAACGCCTACATCATTCTGAGATAAAACCCTGTACCCACTGAGCAGTTACTCCTTACTCCCTTCTGCCCTGGCAACCGATCATCTGCGTTCTGTTCCTATGGAGTTACCTGCTCCGGACAGTTCATTAAAATGGGATGCTCTGTGTACCCTGTTGTAGACCTCGAGGTTTTGAGGGTCATCCATGTGACCGCATGTGCCAGTACTTCACTTATTTTAGGGCTGGACAACGTTCCCATGTATGGATACATCACAAAGTGTGTGTCTATTCATCTGTGGATGCACTTTTGGGGTGTTCCCACCCTCTGGCTGTTGTGCTTAGTGCTGCCAGGCCCCGCCCCCGTGACAGCACCAGAAGTCAGAAACAAGTGAGACGCAGCCACAGCCCGGGCATCGTCATTACACTCAGCATCACCAACACAGTCACAAAATGACACATGCCACTCGATGTGACCCCATGGAAAATATACCACCTCACCTTGGTGGGCTCCTCACCCAAAATCTTTAACCCGACTCTACTCAGGAGCATGCAATTAGGCAACTCCAAATGCAAAACAGTCTACAAGATAACTGAGACAGCTTTGAAAAATATATATTTATGAAAGATTAAAGAACAAATAAAAGGTCTAGGAACTGTTCACTTTAAAGGAGAATCTAAAGACTATCAGGGAAATATGAATCTGACTCAGATAAAGATTATTGTATCACTGATCAATGTTTTGAAAATGAAATGGGATTGTGATTCTGTACAAAATCCTTCTTTTCAAAGACACACTTCGTGGTACTTAGGGCTGAAGTGCCATGATGTCTACAACTCGACTGCTTGTTTTCAAATGGTTCAACAGCAACGACAACAACGAAGTGTGTGTGTGTGTGTGTGTGTGTGTGTGTGTATGCATGCACGCACATACACAGAGAGAAAGCAAATGTGGCAAAATGCTCAGAGTTGGTGAATTTAAATAAAAACACTCTTTAGTGAACTATTCTTTCGATACTCCTCTAGGGTTGAAAATTTGTAAAATTAAGAGGTGGGAGAAATTATGCATCACACAGATAACTGATAACAACACAGCGGGTCGAGCATGGCTGCCTGACCGAGCACCAGTGGGAACCTCAGACAGGGACCTACATTTGCAGGCAAGTCTTGACTTCTAATCTCAGACAAGGAGAGGTAACGACTGATCCCATGACCCCCTTTCAGCTTCACAGTGGCCTCTAGGTACTGCCAGCTTTATAGAACAGAAATATTCTAGCAAAACCAGGGATGTGTGTTTCTTTTTTTCCCTCCATGGACTAAAGACTTTGGCAAGGAGAGAGGCCAGGTCTGTGGTATCTGGGAGGTGGAGGGTCCTTCAGTGCCTATGTGGGCACTTCCATCTCGGCAGCCTGGAATCGACAATCCCCCTGTGGCACCCACTCTTTCCGCCTCCAGCACACTCACCAGGATACACACAATCAGTGAGGCTGTGCTGACCAAGAGCGTGCAAATGGAGTGCACGCTACTCACAGGGGTCCAGCCTTTTGGCGTCTCTGGGTCACACTGGGGAAAGAAGGGCTGTCTTGGGCCACACACTAAACACACTGCAACACACAGTCACACACACAAACATCTCATCATGTTTTAAGTAAATTTACGATTTTGTGTTGGGTCACGTTCACGGCCACTGGGGGCCGCAGGTTGGGCACCTCTGCTGCAGCGTCCGCCCCATGGCAACGGCTCCATCGATGTTAGCAGGGTTTCAAAATAAACGCTCAACCTGACGATCTGTGACACGGGGGCTGTAGGTAAGCGATGGCCCATAAATGCTGGCTCTCTTTTTCCATTTTCTGCTTTTTGGTCAGGGGGCTGGCAGCACACAGGTTAGCGAGTAATGTCGCCCATTCTTGGATATCAAGATTGGATCTCAGGAGATCCAGCAATCACACTTCTGGGTGTTCATCAGAAGGAAATGAAATATCACCATCTCACCGAGATACCTGCAGCTCCTGCGTCCACTGCATTACTTGCGATAGCCAAGATACAGAAATGACCCGAATGTCCATCGACAGATGGGTGGATAAAGAAAATGTCTCTCTTTCTTTCTCTCTCTCTCTCTCACACACACACACACAGGAATGTTATTCAGCCATGAAAAAGGAAAGCCTGCCACTGGAGAGAACATGAATAGACCCTGTGGGCATTATTAGGTCAATGAAATAGGCCATAGAGAGAAAGACAAATACTGTATCATTTCACTTACATGTGAAGTCTAAAAAAAATTCTTACTCATTGATACAGAGAATTGATTGGGGCTTGCCAGAGGCAGGAATTGGGGGTGGGGTGGGGTGGCAGTAGGGTGAAGGCATCAAAAGGCCTACACTACCAGCTATGGGATAAATAACTCCTGGTGATGTCATGTGCAGCAAGGTGCCTAGAGTTAACAATACTGTGTTGTATATTTGAAAGTTGCTCAAAGTAAACCTTAAAAGTGCTAATCACAAGGGGGAAATTTGCAACTATGTGTGGTGATGGACGTTGACTAAATTTATTGTGGTGACCATTTTTCAGTATGTGTGCATATCAGATCATTATGCTGCACACCTAAAACTAACACAATGTTTTAAGACTGAATGACACACCTGGCTGGTGTGGTTTAGTGGTCTGGGCGCCAACATGTGAACGGAAGGTTTGCAGGTTTGATTCTCGGTCAGGGTACAAGCCTGGGTTTGGGCCAAGTCCTCAGTTGGGGGCATGAAAGAGGCAATCAGTTGATGTTTCTCTCCCTCTCTTTCTCCTTCCCTTCCCCTCTCTCTAAAAAATAAGGTCTTAAAAAAAAACTGACACATACTTAACATTTATCTCGAGGAAACAATGTTTGATATCATGACTAACTGAAACATTTTGCTATTTTTAAAATATATCCCAGGGGCTTATAAACTCACTTCCTGATGCTGGAAAGAAAAGTGTATTCCAAGATTCTGATTTAGAGATCTTAATAAACATAGTTAATAAAGTGTCTCTTTTCACCATTAGAAGTAGATATTACAACAAGTTCTTACTTTAAAATTGATAGGTGAAAAAAAATAAGTAACCTTTTATCCTACTTTTCCTCTAAAGGCTAAATTGTAGGGTAGTCAGCTAGCCCTAAAAAATTGGGGGAACACAATTCCTTGCACAAAATCTGGTTAATATATGAAGAATGAAAGCAGGAATCTGAAAAGTACCATTTTTGCAGCCAGAATAAAACAGTTAATTCAGGCAAGAGCCACTAATAGAGACTTAAACCACCAGGCAAAGCAGCCACCACCCTGCAGACTGCTTCCCACCCGATCGCCCCTGGACACTAATAATGGGACAACCAGGCACTATGTACATCCTGACGTAAGGCAGCGGGAAGCACACCGCGGCACCTAGGAAGATGCCACGCCAAAGGCTTCACTTCGATCTAATGGAGCCCTACCTCTCACTTCCATTTTAGAAAAAAAAATTTCAGGGAACTGGGGAGCAGGTTACCACTTCGAAAAAGCACTCAGACAAACCCTGAGGGGAGACAGTTCACCTGGCTTCCTCCACACTCCGCCAACAAGAAAATAAATGAAAGAGTCCCACTCAACACAGACACAGGAAAACTAGTGCCACCCGAGGGTCTTGTGTGGATCTTGGTTCCATAAATCACCAGGAAAAGTGTACTTCGGGTATAAATTAGGAAATGTGACTTGTTGAAAAGTATGTTTTGCAAAATAATAAATCATACGGCAAACTGTTAAAATCATTATAAATCCGGGTCATGGGAATATGAGTTTATGCTCTTCTCTCTACTTTTCTGTATCTTTGAAATCTTTCATAATAAAACTTCCAAAATACATGATAATACAATATCATACCCCCAAATCTATGATAATACAATATCATATTAACATGTGTGCACCTAGTAACATACATGTTAAGTGCATGCAAAAAAAAGTGCCTTCAAATGAACTGTCAGTTGAGCCACTGTAGTTCGATTCAAATTGGGAATTGTAGGTCATGTCCAAGTCACTAGTCCTCAGTGCTCGCTTCGGCAGCACATACACTAAAATTGGAAAGACCCCAAGAAAATTAGCATGGCCCCTGAGCAAGGATGGCACACAAATTCGTGAATACTTCCATTTAAAAAAAAAAAAAGTCCTTACCTTTGACCCCTGTGGCTCACCATTGACTTTGAGTCATGTGACCTTGGGCAACTCACTTCTCCTTCAAGCTCCCGCATTTGCATAAGAGTGCAGGGGTGACCCGACCCCTACCTCACAGGGTTGCAGAGAGGATTACCAAGTTAAGAATGGGGACTGTGGGTTGAACAGCTTGCCTCCTGGGTGGACCGGGTGGAGGCAGGCATTCAACAATCATTTTTGAGCGCCTTTTAGTACAAGGCATATGCTAGGGACTGCCTCACTGAGCTTCTAGACCAGCATGGCAACGGACAGACATTTCTTAAGTAACCACAGACATACACAAACACAAGCAAGGACAAGTGCCATGAAAGAAAAGGACAGTGTACTATCAGACATGTGTTGATTGTTCAGCAAGCAAGTCAGTCCCCAAGTTCAAGTCGCAACAGAGGCAGCACAGGGGTGAAAACGAGGACTCTGGGTAGAACACCTGGACTCCATCCAGGTCCTTTTCCTCTGACTAGCTGTGTGACCTTGAATTTCACCTTAGTTCCTTCATCCGTATAAGCGCCAAAAACAAGCTTGGGTATGAACAGTCCTTACATCGCAGGGTTGATGTGAAGAGTAAACAGTTAATACCGTGCATTGCCCAGAATACAGCTAGCACATACAAGCCCAGAATACAGCTAGCACATACAAGCCCAGAATACAGCTAGCACATACAAGCCCTCCATAAGAGTGTCTGTTATTACCTCAGTGGTTCTTTGGCCCAGAGCAAAATGGAGTGTGATCCTTTCCACCCTGTCTGTTTGGTCTGTGAGGACTTAATGAATCAACTTTTTTTCAGTAGCTTTCAGAGAGAAGATGTGAGAGAGAAACATCAGTTGGCTGCCTTCTCATACACGCCCTCTCTGGGGATCAAGCCTGCAACCCAGGCAAGTGCCCTGCCCAGGAATTGAACCCATGATCCTTTGGTCTACAGGATGATGCTTCAACCACCTGAGCCATACTGGCCAGGGCATGAGTTAATGTTTTGAATTTCGTCTTTCAGTAAACCCCAGCTGTACAATTGAGTCACTCAGAGAGATCGTTAGAATTTTCTTACTTTTTTAAACATATAAATATAAACTATGTACACATACGTATACACATACACGGTGCACACTAACTCTACAGGTGTGAGTACATGAGAGTTTATTCTTGTATTATTATGTGTTCATTACTGTGGTATTTCTTTGTTACAACTGTAGAGTTTCTTTTGCACACCCCCGTCTTTGACCCAGGAGCTCCATTCTAAAAGGAGAGACCCAGAAAACCCAGGGACAGAGCCTGGTGTCCACGTTTTAGCAGCTCCTCGGCCAGTTCTAATGTGCAGCCAGGGTTGGGACCACCGACCCAGGCAATCACAACGTAAACCATTTCAAAAGCACAGACCTCTCCTGTGCAATGACTTCCCGATGGCTGTTACTGCTGTTGCTGTGGCCTCCGCAGAGTCCAACCAGAGATCTGACCTCACAGCACACAAATGACGTCTTCAGAAGAGTCTAAGGACCCACCAGTTTCCTTCTCCTGTAATGCCATCCCATGTCTCCAAGAGCAGAGCAACTAAGTCCCAACTCCACTCCGCCTCCACCCCCTGCTCCACTGTGACTAGCTCCTGTGGGTTTCTATGTGGACTTAACCTGGCAAAGGGCAGAGCACACTCCGGGGTGGAATTATTGACAGACAGAGGCCGGCCAACCCAAAGTTTGGAGCAGTCTTCTTTGCATCTGGAAGTTCCCTTAAACAGGGAAACGCTAACACGGCTATTTGCCCTGAGGGTGTGGAGAGGAAGGAATCAGGTGTTGAAGACTTGGGCGTTGTTTTTTCATTTATGAATCAACAGTTTGAGAACTGAGCTTATCAATTTTGCAGAGTCGAAGTGCAACGTCCTACATACAACTCCTTGGGTCGTGGTTACAACTGAGCGCGTACATTTGCCAAGACCTGTTGGACCGTAACACTTACAATCTGTTCTTGTAACAGGTTACCTACAATCTTTTATTCTAGGTAAGGTACACCGCGGTTAAAAAAAAAAAGTACAGGGAAAAATAAAGTCGGCCAACAGTGGTTCACTAGGAGTTGAAAGAAAACAGGAGAGTCCCGCGTCTGCTGCAAACGCCCTCTTCGACCTGTTCGCTCCGGCTTACAGGGGAAGAAGTTTTGGAAGGTCTAAGCACGTCCTTGGACAAGGACTGTCGGGGAGCGAGGAGACGGAGTCCTCGGCACCGCGCTGTTCTGCCTGGACCTGGCGCGCCGGCAGCACGCGGGGTTCTTACCGAGTAGCAGGAAAGACAGGACCCACTGAAACACCGCCGCGGTTTGCAGCCGCCGCGCCAGCGGGATGTTGAGCGGCGCAAATTCGACCTTCATGGCCCGGCCCCCCGCGAAGACAGCGCCGACCGTGGTCACCGGGAACCTGCTGCTCTGCAGCGCCTGCGGGAAGTGTGCAGCCGGATCAGGGCCCTACGCAGGGAACCCGCGGGGTGGAGAGAAGGAGGCGGCGGCCACTAAACCGGAGGTGGCTGGACTTTGGCTTGGGTAGGAGGGCGCGCCGGGGCCGAGGCGGGGGGCTGCCAATCACGCGCGCCCGGGCCTCGGAGCAGCTGGCGCGCCTGGGGTGCATTGGCTGGCACGCTGGTGACAGCGCTCTGCTTTGGGCACAGGGGGCACGGAGAAGGATCAGCTGGCTGCCAGCCGGGGAGTCCGGCAGAGTGGGCCCCTGGAATCCCCACCGGGATCTGACTATCGTTCAGCTGATCGATCACCTCGCGTTCGGGTTCAGCATCCGCCTTTAAACCCACCCCTTCCTCTGAATCCTCTGCGGCAGGGGAAGGGTTAGTTCCCAGGAATCGCCTACCAGCTGGAGGGAAACACACGCGACTGAGCTTCGCTGGGATCCGGCTACTCACCTGTTCATTGGTCTGTATCCCCCACACCACCACCAAACTGGGGGTGGGGGGCGGGGACCTGGCCTCCTTACTTTTGTGTCCTCAGATTCCAACATGAGTCCTGGAAATCCTTAATTCACTCACTCAGTACACTTATTGAGCACCTGCCACGTGCCAGGCGCCACTCTGGGCGCTGGGGATACAACCAGTAACCAAGTCACTCATCCAGTCTGATCTTCCAGTACCAATTATAAGGGGGCGTGGGAGGTGGCAAACATAAGCAAAATAACCACACAATTGGGTGTGTAACTGCAACGTGAACCCTGCTGTGACTGACTGGAAGAAGGTTCTAAGATAGATAGACTAGAGAGGCTGGGAAGTCTCTGAAGAAGCGACCTTGACGTGAACTACACTGATGAATCTAGTCCAGGCGAAGAGAAGCACATGCACAGAGCTCCCATGGCTGAAATCCAAAAAAGACGGGTAGAGAACAAGGAGGAGTTTGGGGTGAAATGAGGCAAAAACTAGGTCCAAGGCTAACGCACCTTAGGAATGCCAGAAGTAACTCCTTGCACGGGGCATTAGTCCTCAAAAGAACACATAATCTCGTCAATTTTCCTGTCATTCAATCCTCACCTTGCTTTTTCCCCACCTCTACTTAATCTCCCTTACACTCCCTCCTTAATTTTAGTTGCTTGGGGCCCTGGCCGGGGTTGCCGCTCTTGTATTCCCCTCCTTCCTTTCTGGGAAATCAATCAATAAAAAAACATTTAAGCTGTAAAACTTATTTGGGGGAACACTTGAGAGCACATGTCATCAGTTTGGCTCAAGCTTTTATATAAAAATTCTCTACAGTTTGGGACATTTCTTACATTGACACCTGCTTTGCATCAGGCGTTACCTTCGTTGCTGATGACAAAGAAGTGAGTTCAGACATGGTGTGTCCTCTGTCCATCTGTAAGAATTCACTTGCGTTCATTCATTCCTTGACTCTTTGTGGAAAGGCTTCAGTGTGTTGGCACTAGGTGGGGATGGGCTACAGTAGTGAATAAGCAAGGTCTCTGTCCTCATGGAGCTCTCAGTCTAGTGGGAGAAGCAGAAAATGAACATGTAAGTGCATATGGTCAAATGTGTGCCAAGGCCTTGACAGAAACATACAGGTTCCAGTGACTGAGGATAATGAGCACCTGTCTAGAGTCAATAGGAAGCAAGAAGAGTGGAAGTTGGGACACCCTCAGCTATTGTAGGGGAAGAGAAGAGGAGGGGGACTTGGTCTACTGTGGTACAAGGGAGAATAGAGGTAGGTTGGGGATCTGCGGGGGAGCTATAAATTGTAGGGCTAGTTGATAAATTGGATTCACAATCTTTTGGTAAAGAAGAACAAGATACCCAACTCCCACTCCTAATCACTCGTCCTTTACTGGACAGAACAGAATCATGCTTTGTCACTTTCCCAGAGCCCTTAGCTGGTAGGAAAGAACTGTCATTGCCCACCACAGCCCACTGAAGCAAAGCATGAACCCACCAGGGTGCCATTTTCATCAGCGTTTCAATTAGCAGTGAACTCGTTCCCTGGTTCATTTAACATTCAACACATTTATTTGTGTACACATCGTGTCCCAGGTTATTGGAGTTGAGCGATTAGGAGAATTAAAATGTGAGACAGTTTTGTTTAATTCATCAAGTTCTCAAAACAACGCATCTATAGCAGTTTAGTTGATTCCTGGAACTTAAAACTAACAGGAAAACATGCAGCTTAGACATTATCTTCTCAAACTACACGTTTTGTAGAATAGGGAGGCAAGAGCAGAGAAGAGAAGCGATCTGCCCAAGATAACCCAGCCGGATCTGTCCACCTGTCCTGGGACAGGCGGGGGAGCACTGTGGTGGGAGGAGGGGAAGCAGTGCGGTGCGGGGGACTCTCCGGGGGGGGGGGGGTTAAAAAATCTTCGAAGAACTCGAATTTGGGAAAGAAACCCGAGTAACACTTCCCTTGTTGGAATGGAATGGGGAACCTGGCTCCCACATTCTCAGCATCATCCTCCTTTTTGAGGTGATGTAGCCAAATTAAATAGGAACAGAAAAATCCAATTGGAAATCACTGCTTATTTGCTTCTTTCTTTCTTTCTTTCTTTCTTTCTTTCTTTCTTTCTTTCTTTCTTTCTTTCTTTCGCCTTTCTTCCTTCCTTTCTTCCTTTCTCTCTCTCTTTCTCTTTCTTTCTTCTTCATTTCCTGTGTGTGGAGTGGGGCAGCCTAATATTCGGATAAGTAATTGAATGAGGTCACAGCTAAAAACCGTGTGTGATAGTCAGCGTCGCTGAGCACCGCCCGGCTTGCAGACACCATGCTGTGTGGGCCACGCCTGATTGAAGTCTCACAGCTCCCCAGGCAGGTACTATTGTTCTTTTTACCACCAGAGAAAGCGAGACAAAGGTCAAACTAGTTGTTCATCTACTAAGTAGAGTAGCAGAACAAATTTCTGTTTTTTGAAGATAGGTTTGTCTTACAGAAGAAAAAAAAAAAAACAAGACAAAATAGGTTGGTTTGTTTCCAAGGTCTGAGCAAATAAGTGGCATAAGAAGCTGTCCCTCAAATGGTGTCACAGGAAGGAAGAGATGTTGAAACCACAGGGTAACACAGACAACAACACTGGTCGCAGTTTGGTTTGGGGGTTAGTTATTCATTCAATCAACAAATATTTACCAGTCACATACCACGTGCTTGGCATTACGTGTATGTGAGTAATAAAACGTACTTAAATTTTCAGTACAGTAATTCAACCCAAATGTTTCCAGCACCTTGGCCGGGGGCAGGCCCTGAAGAGGGCGTGGCAATTGGAGCCAACACTATCCTGTTTGAAGATCTGAGATTCCACCAACGAGCGTGGTTCCTCTTTCTACTGCTCAGCACCGAAGAACAGAATGACAGTTGAGATTGACTCACAGATTACAGCAGCCAGCTCTGGAACATGAGTCATTTAAAGTCACTTCCTTGTTGTAATTCAGTTCCTGTGAAGTTCAGTTAGCCAACTTCCACTAGCAAAAAGATGGGTGTCTTTCTTTCCTTTTTAAAAAAAAAAAGATTTTATTTATTTTATTTTCTTTAGAAAGGGGAAGGGAGGCAGAAATAGGGAGAGAAGCCTCAATGTGTGGTTGCCTCTTGTGTGCCCCTGACTGGGTACCAGGCAGGTGCCCTGACAGGGAATTGAACCAGCAACCCTTTGGCTTGCAGGCTGGCACTCAACCCAGGAAGACAGACCAGCTGAGGCAGATAATGTTTTTCTATTACATTACATTCTAGGCAGTTTAGGACAAAGGTCAGTGTTCTGATTTTCATATGGTGCATTAATCATAAAGGTAGATATTCTTTCTCACACACACAAACCCTAAACGTCATGGGTACCACCATTCATTGAAAGTGACCAGCTCTGGTCAAAGTCAAACAAAAGGCCAACACTACGGTAGTTTCAAAGGAACATCTTTCAAGAAGTTCTATTTTCAAGGCTCTTTGGAACTAAATTCGAGGAATTTGCTCCGACCCCTCTGTTCCCTATTGCCTTCCTGATGAATTAAATTACGTTGTCACTCGGACAGGTCTGAAGTATGCTTGCTCTGGGCGAAGTTGCAGGGGTCTTGCCTGAGATAGTGAGGCGTAGCAGCCACTGTAATGACTGTCCGATGTTCCTTTCCCACCCGTTTTCTTGTTGCCATAGGCACATGCAAGGTCTCAGACTACACAGCGCTCCCGCCTTCCTGCCTTTCCCATTCCCCTTCGAAAGCTCCGCTGATACAAGGCCGCTAACTGTCGCTTTTCCTTTAGTTTGTATTAGTACATGATGTTTTCTCTACAACGTAGGTGCTCTTTAAGTTGTAACACTATGAACGACTCTTAGAGATTATTAAGGTAATTACCGATATTTAGCGAATGTCCTTTCTCTTCCCGTGACCTTCACCCCCACTTTCCCCATTTCTGTTTGTACTTGGCCTGGAAACTAAAGCAAGGAAGGAACGAGGAGGAAAGGCTGGGAATGCCTACTGCTGCCAACCTGGGTCTAAGGCGGACTCCCTCTCTCTCTCTCTCTCTTTTTAAGATGTGATTTATCTACTTATTTTAGAGAGGACAGAAGGGAGGGAGAAAGAGAGGGAGTGAAGCATCCGTTGGTTGCCTCTCGTACACTCCTTTCTGGGGACCTGGCCCACAACCCAGGCCTATGCCCTGACTGGGGATTGAACCAGCACTTAATCCACTGAGCCACGCCAGCCAGGGCCTACGGCAGACCCTTAAAGGAGGCAGACAGCAACTCCAACAGCAGCGTCCTTGGAGGCGTGGCAAAGCAGCCACCTTCACGTCCTTCCAGTTTCCAGGAAGGTCCAGTCCAATGGAGGGGCCTGCACACCTGCTGTATTTTTTTAGGTGTTTGTAGCCACTTGTTATGTGTTGATTCCCCTGGTCTACTTGTATTACTCTTTTCCTCACACGTGC